TTCTATTTTTATTGTATTACATTAAAATTAATGACCAATAAAAAAAATTTATTTGCAATGCGTATATTTCCACATAGAGAATTTCCATACCGAATAAACAATATTTTCAATAGTTTAAATATAGTAGCCGTGTGAATTACATAGCAAATACACAAAAATATAAACAAAAAGCGTTTTTATAAAAAACACTTCTAAAATCGTAATTCAAGTTAATTTGTTAATAAATCTGCAAATAATATGCTATTGTTGAATGGAAATAAAATTGAAATGTATGACATGAAATACGATATAGACAAGCATGATATATATATACCAATTTTAAGATTGCGCAACGGCCAACATTTCCTCTTGATGAATTAAATGTGTAGTATGATTCACAAGGCCCATCAATTTCGATAACGATGCAGCCCATGTATCTAGAAGAGCAGCTGGTTCTTGCGTTCCAGTAAAACGAACTACGCCAGCTGGACGATCTGTACGCGCGTTGATTACCCCAGTCTCTACCAAATTGCAAAGGCATGCTTCTGTTTCTTCAGTCGGAAGATCTAGTAACTCAGCCATGCGAGTTAATGTAATCTTGGTGTAATATTTGGCCATGATCCTTATGTTCTAAAAAATGTTTTTTTTTTATATACACGCTGTGCATAAGATTATTAAAGTAAGATTATTGACAAACGAATATTTTACTATTTTATATTTTATATCAAAATATGTTAGAATCTTAGAATCTATTCTGATTTCTTTTCTCTCATCCAGAATATTCTCAAAAATTAGAATTTTTTTTAATTAAAAAAAGAAATAAGATGAGTAAAAAGTAGATAGGTCCTATTTAAAAAATCATTACCCTAAATGCAATTATTGTAAATGAACATCAGATTTCTTGATAACTCTGAATGCAATTTTTTAAAATTCAAGTATACATATATTGAACAATCTTTTGAATAATTTGTAACTTTTGAACGAATAAAAAAAACATTACATTAAAACTATAATTTTTTATAACTATATTTTAGAAGAACAAAAAGATAAAATATTTCTCAATTAATTTAAAATAGAATTTACCTGATAAAATAGTTATAAAAATATATAATTTTGGTAACTGAAAAATAGTGAAAATTTACATTGCTAAGAGAAAATTATCCTATTCAGTGGGTATCCTATTGTTAATACAACTCTCTCTAAAGACCGAATTAATGTTTCTACTTGACTGAGCAGCGCTATGTGCCAGCCTAAATTTACAATAAAAAAAAATTGAAAGAGACAACGCTACTATAAATTTTAAATAGCACAACCTGAAGAGTACTTTATCTCAATTTTATTAATCACAGTCAATTCCCAACTGAATTTTAATATTGGTAATTTTATGTGGTATAACTTAATATATACTTTTCATTATCATTTAAACACGTTCTAAATAATTTTTAAACTTACGTGTTCTACAACACGGTTCCGCAAATCTGCCCATCGTTTGCATCCTTCTTCAGTTGAAGACGAAAAGACTTCAGTTGATCTAAGATCTCTTTCATAAATTTCACATAATCCTGACCATTTTATCAGTTCGGGATTAACAAATAAGCGCAACAGTTCTCTGCAGATTGTTTTAACTCATATTACTTTCCGAGAATCAAAAATAGGTATTTTAAATATTTCAAAGTAATTGCAATCATTACTTGTAAGTGGGTATCTCATCAAGGAGTTTATCAGCAAGTAATCTATGAGTTAGATCAGCCTGCTCAGGCTCATGCGGTGCGAGTACAAGATAGAGGACAGCTCGAGAAAGTGCAATATGTCTTTTCTCTGGATCGTCTCGAATTGTTGGAGTTTCCAATACTGCTCGATTATGTCGACACAACTCCAAATGCCAACCTTCATGACGCGCTAATTCCATCATCAAACTAGACATAAAATACGATTTGTTAAAACCCTTGTGTAATAAATAAGGTATAAGATATGGCATACATACTCGTAATATTTTAATTTCAGTGTCTGAGTTTCCTCATCGTTCTCGTCACTGAAAAACTTGACGTTAATTTTCTTTGCTATGATTTGAGTTCTCATGAAATCTTGTTTTGCCAAACAAAGTCTCATCTGTTCTAAGATAAGAGAAGCCTTTTCTCGACGTGACATACTGCCATATGTTTCCACCTACGTGATATGTTATTTAGTACTACAATCTTTGTAAATTTGTATAATATAGTTATATATAGTTAAATATGATATAGTTAAGTTTTACCAAAGTGTACCTATTATCGTTATAAATTATAAAAACCTGTAATTCAAGCATTACGACTGCAGCGCTTGCAATGTCTCCTTCTGCTTCTTTTATTTTAGCTAAGCGATGAGTAAGTCTTGCTCTTTCCACTTCCACATATATCTTTGTAAAAAAATTTCTTATTTAGTGTAAATCATACAGAAATATTATAATTAGCGTACATTAATTAGTAAAATCTGGAACTGTTCAGTAAACTCTTATTGGATAATCAAAAATATGTTAAAGCAAACCTTTCAAAGTGGAATTAATCACACAGATGTTTTAATACTTAATTATAGCTAAATCAAGATTTACTATAAAACTTCTATGTTTTACCCTAATATAGTGGTGAAAATATATTTACCTTTCCTTCTGTAACCGAACGAAGAGTTTCTATCAGTTTCACCATAGTTTCTTTGTTAGGCATTTTGTCTATATAAGTACAACATTCTTGAACCATCTTTGTAACAGCCTGTTTAAGTTGAGAGCGCCTCTTTGATAATAAAATTATGTGTTCATTAAGCGCTGACCAATTTTTTGCCTCTAAACAGATCTCAACTATGGCTACAAGAAGTCTAGACGTTGACACCATGTCAGCGCCCTATATAAAAAAGCTTAAGAATAAAATTATATATATATATATATATATATATATATATATATATACAGGGTGTTCGAAAATTCAACCGACAAACTTTCCGAGATTGTCGGGGGCACTATAAGGATCATTTTTTGCAAACAGACTTAGAGTCGGAAACGTGTCGTTACATCACTAGTGCTTATGAGCGATGTCATGTAGAAGGGTGTCTTAGAGTAGATGCTCGAAGTGTCATCCCCCATGATCTTTGCATAGGTGATAGGCACTGAACAATGGACCGGTGGACTCTGGCAAACATGCTGGGATTGTCCTTGATTTCACCTTGCTCAGAGCCTTCTGTCGTTGATATTCTCGACGTCGTAGCTATGCAATAACGCGTTTCCAGCCCCAGGTTCATTTGCAAAAAATGACCCTTATGGGTGCCCCCGACAATCTCTGAAAGTTTATCGGTTAAATTTCCGAACACCCTGTATACAGAATGAGTCATTTTAATCGACGCAGACAAATATCTCGAAAAATATGGAAGATACGAAAAAATGTTTCGGACAAAAGTTGTATAGTCTAAAGGGGGATGACACATGATTCCGATGTGAGTCATGTCGTAAGAAATTTTAAAAGCGACTAATTTCTTAAATGGAACTTAATTTTTTCCTTGAGATAAAAGTTGAAATACACACATATACACATATTAACAGAGATATTGTAAGCGACATATACACATATGTATGCACACTACTGTTCGTAAAAATAGAACATCAGGAAAAAATTATGTTACGCTCTTGAAGAAGCATTATAATTTCTCATGTCAATAATGCAACTTTGATCAGTCATTGAGTTGAACATATGGCCCTTTTGTTCCTGGCATCCTTGATAACAATTGATCAAGTACTGATATGAGGAACTAATAGATTTGTTTCATATAAAACAGAGTAGAGAAGGGTGGAAAGTATAAGAGATATTGCAAGTTCTAATTGATCAGTATATCTAGTAAAGTAAATCTATATCATTGACAATGAATTTATAATTATTTCTTCTCAGTAATGTTTAATAAACAAATTCTATAAAAATCATGTGCTTAACTTCTTTTTTAGGATACTGTTTTTCACAAACAGTAGTGTATACATAAGTATTTCCTACTTTATAGTATTAATGTATACTTAACGGTTCTAGTGAGTTTCTCTAAAGCTAATAATTGATCCAAGGCGTCATGTAGCTTTCCTTCAGAAGCAAGCTTTTTGCATTCAGGTATTTTTGCATCACAAGTACTGCTATAATCCACCTCCATCTTCACCAGTCTGCCAGAGTTATCCATCGTCGCATCTGCCATTTTAACTGTTTGACAATATCTAATTTCACATAAGGACAGATAAAATTTAAAAAAATGATATTTGTAAACGCATACTGAATATGTCTTAAAGGTTAAGTTTTAAAATATCAGACGTAAATTGCAGATGCAGCTATATATTGAATACAGATGAAAAAAAAATCGAATAAATGTATCAAAATACAAGAATTTAATAACCAATTAATCATAAAATGACCAACAAAAACACTTGCGTTATAATTTATCAAAAATAGTGAATGACACGCTACACAAAACACATCATTTCTTATATCAAATCTTTCCAAAAAGAATCAATAAAATAAATAATATTTTTAATACACGTTATAATATTATACTTGTTAATATTTTTTTTATATTTTTAATTGAATCCAATTTAATTAAATAATGAAACATACCGAGCTAAATTGTCGGTCACGATTTGTCACAATTATACCACACCACGATGAAAAGAGTAATGGAGAATTCACATTCACACTTCGTCCTGCTCATATATAGGTCTGTTCTCTATCTGCTGAATGTGCAAGTGCTAAGTGCAATTAAGCCCGGTGTCCACGATGCAAGAACTGTGTCCAAGTTTCGGTTTAAGCCAATGAAACTGCTACTTTTCTGTAAAGGTGCCTTTTCATGCTGACGCTCGACGCTCATTTTCAGCGGCAAGAAGGTCGCATGACCACAATTGACGCCAGCGTCAATTGAAATTCATGAAAAGGAAAACAGCGTCAAAATTTCGGCGTCTTCGCGCTGCTTTGGCTTTGACGCTTGATGTTGGAAAAATCCAACTTCTCTTTCTTGACGCTGGCATCATAGTAATGTCACGTGACGACGCTCAACGCTGTTTTTCAGCGTCCCATGAATTGGCACCTTAAGAGCTGCAAGTTGATTGGGTTAAATCGAAACTTGGACACAGTTCTTGCATCGTGGACATCGGGCTTTAGAGTTCTATAGGCCAATTCTTTTACACAAGTCCACGGTCTTAAGCCTTGTGTACATACACGATACTAGAAATCGGTCCGAGTTTCGGGGAGGGTGCAGGGGAGAAAAGCCTTTAGGCTCCCACAGACCGAACGCGTCAAGCGTCAAGCAGCGAGCAGTAACCAATCAGCGAGACGATATTTTCTACGCCACTGCTGATATCACCTCACTGATTGGGTTCAATTGGGTTGCTGCTCGCTGCTTGACGCTTGACGCGTTCGGTCTGTGGGAGCCTTTTCTGTTCACAGCTCTGGTAACTTAGCCGGTCAACTTCGACTTTATTAATTTTCATATTTTTTTATCGTTTGTTGGTCGTTTGTTGGTGATTGTTGGCCTAATTACAACGTTTGTTGGTTCTTAATTTTTTTTTAAATTTAAAAAGAAAAATTAGCATTGAGTTAGCCGGAAAAATTTTATTTTTAATTTCAAAAAAGCCTAATCGATGCGTAATCGTTTGCTGATGATTGTTGGTCTAATTTTAGCGTTTGTTGGTTTATTATTAGTCTTAAAAACGAAAAAAAAACGAAAAATTATCTCACATATTAAAGTAATCGAAGATTGGTTTATTTGCCTACGACTTAAGCTTTATTTCTATCAATTTAAGGCTAACATCTATAAAACTGCCATATGAATACGGGCCTTAACATCGGCAGAAAATCGCGAAAAGATAAAGAAACATGGTGGTTCGTGGGAAGCACACACACACACACAACGGGGGGGTGCGAGGGAAGGGCCTTCGGCCCCCCCCTCCCCCGCACCCACCCCGCCGGTAGGCTGCGTGGACCTCGCTTTACAACATAAAGTACATGCTAAGTTGTAAAACGAAATTATAAAGCACACGCATGGAGGGGTGCAAGGGGGCTTACATGCGTGAGCGCACGTGAACAGAACCTCTATGAAGTTGGCCGGACAACTTCAACGTATCGCACTTTCATTAATTGGAATCGATTGGTGGTCGTTTGGTGGTCTTTGGTAGTCTAGTCCGATCATCAATTCACTCTTCAAAAGCTGGCAGCCCTGATAAAACCGCCACAATTGTCAAATTGTTCAAATTGAAACTTTACGTTTTCAGTTTCTAGGAAAGGAAATCATTACTCTGCTGAGTTTGAGCGTCCAGCATGGTAAAATAAATAAATATATAAAATTAATACATATGGATATGCAAGGTACAATTGCAGCCAAGGTAAAATAATTTCCTCGTATGTACATACAATTATCTCTTTATAAACATTTGTTATTAAATTATTCGAAAGATGTAGTTTTGGAAAATGTAAAAAGTTTAAAAGCGTTTTCCTGATATTACAATAAATATAAAAATAATATCTACGTAAATTTATATTAAAAATTATCTCTATATAGGTATTTTATGTATTAGCATGGACATTTGTCGCAAGCTATTATTTTGTATGGGGTAGTAACCAGCCAAGCGTAGCTGTTGTATCTGTCGATGAATCTGGTTGGAACACGGATGTAATTTTTGTAAACGAAATAACTCGTTAAGGAATGACAACAGAATGAGAAAGAACATGAAGACGTTCGAGCAATACTATATATTTTTTTACAATTGGAAATCAAATTGAATTTTATATGACAGCTTTATTACATTTATTTCCCACCTCCAATCATGGCTACGATAGCAATAACAATTTAATTTTAATAAGAATTCTTGCACAAAATTTAATGTATAAATAAATAATATATCTCTTTGTAATTCTCAATCTTATGTAATATACTGCATCTATATCTGCCACTTATTTTTATTCACAGACAGTATATAGATATGTACATATATGAAATTAATGATTTTATTAATAACAATTTATACATTACATATATATACATAATATATATATATACATATATATATATATATATGTATGTATATACCCAGGGTGTACCTGAATGGTCTGTACAAACTTTGGGAATAAGTTCCAGGGCCCGTATTCCGTTTACGGCCCCAGGGACCTAAACAGAAAAAGTCCTATGAACATAGGGTCGGAAACGCTTGCTTCGGGAGTTATGACAGTTCAAAGTTTTTTGCAATGGAGAAATTATCATGTCAAATCGCATAGGGGTTACAAACTGTGTTTATTTACCTCGATTCCAAGAAAGTCTGCGCATGTCGCCGCACTGACTGGCGAGGGATTCAGGAAAAAAGTTAGACAAAGAAATAAGTAAACACGTGCGCAGGCTTTCTTGGAATCCAACGGATGCCATTTCGAGGATTTGCTGTAGCAAGTGTACTGTCCTGTTATGTCTGTGACAAAACCGAGGAAATAAATAAACACAGTTTGTAACTCCTATGTGATTTGACATGATAATTTTTCCAGCCATTGTAGAAAAACTTCGAACCGTCGTAACTCCAGAAGCAAGCGTTTCCGACCCCATGTTTATGGGACATTTTCTGCTTGTTTAGGTCCCTGGAACTTATTCCCAAAGTTTGTACAGACCATTCAGATACACCCTGTATATGTATATATAGGGTGAGGAAAAAATATGGAAACCCTGACAAATTTCGAAAAACAAGCTTTACAGAAAATTATTTCGGATAAAAGTGGGGTTTTTAAAAAGATCTATTTACTGATCTTATCAGTTTGGGTTTGGATGACGTCGCCAAGATCAGAACAGGTCACGTCGAATTTTTTAAATGAGACGCAGCCGTATGATTTACCGACATTATCGTTTTTCGATGGATCTTTTAATTGGCTTTATAGAATTGCAAAAATCTTTTACAGAATTAAAGTACGCATCAAAATCTAGGTCATGGTGGTCGAATTTATATCGAAAACAAAAAAAAATTAATATTTTTTGTTATACGTGACGACCACCATGACCTAGATTTTGATGCGTACTTTAATTCTAGACAAGAATTTTGCATTTCTATAAAGCCAATTAAAAGATTAGTGCTAAGAAAAAAACTGAAAAAAACCGGCTAGGATCACGGCTTTAGGATCACCTTAAGGGGATCCTGCAGCCGTATGATTTACCGACATTATCGTTTTTCGATGGATCTTTTAATTGACTTTACAGAATTGCAAGTTATATCGAAAACGAAAAAAAATTAATATTTTTTGTTATACGTGACGACCACCACATATCAATTCGACCACCATGACCTAAATTTTGATGCGTACTTTAATTCTAGACAAGAATTTTGCATTTCTATAAAGCCAATTAAAAGATTAGTGCTAAGAAAAAAACTGAAAAAAAAAAAAAAAACCGGCTAGAATCACGGCTTTAGGATCACCTTTTAGGCTCCTGGATAGTCACCGCGGCCATGAATTTCTTGCTATCGAGGCGAGAAATTACCCTATTTTATGTTGCGGTATTTTCCGAAATAAAGACATTTCAATAAAAAATCATTATAGATCGTTTCAGCACACTTCTAAAATTTAACGGATACTATCCTTTTCCCTCGACAATAAACAAACAGCCATAAAACGAAGCCTAAACATACGGAAAAACAAGCCATTTGACGACTCGAAAGAAGTGGAGTATGTTCCTTCAGGATATGTATTTCTTGCAAATCTTACCATACGTTAAATTTCACGAGTTTCACGAATACGTTAAACGTTATAGCACAAGTACAGAGCGAATAATAAAGAAATATAACGCAACGCAAAATAGGTTGTCAACAGCGCATGTCACAAAGGACAGAATTCTCCATTGGAGAGTTCTTATTTCTGCCGTGACGGTATGTCGCCACCGTCAACGCAGAGTTCTCGGCTTAGGGACCAGGAGCCTT